GGGCAGGGTGCTGTTTTCTTCTGTGGTGCGTAGGGTGTCTGTGGGTCATGATGGCTCCAGGGCAGTGGGGTTCTCCGGGGGGGTTTGAGGCTGTGTTCTTTTGCTTTGTAAATTCCTGATGTGGGCAATTTTGCTTGTCTTTACATTGAGAGCCATACTCGGGTGCCCATCTGTCTAACTTCTGTGGCATTCTTTGCAGATGTCCCTGTTCACTCCACACCCGAGAATCCCGGTGAGTTGCAACAACACCCCGCCCCCCACCCAGTCTTCCAGCTGACAGGCACCCTGAGGGCTCTGAAAGGAGGGGCATGGGGTCTCTAATTCTCACCTCCTCTGCTGGTCACTCCCTGGTGCCTGGCAGGGGCCGGGGGAGGGGGCTGGGCTGCTGGTTACCAGTACATGGGACGGGGCAGGGTGTCCTCCGAGTGGACCCTTCTCTCTTCACGTTGCTCTCCTCCCAGGTGACCTACCTGAATGTGTCATGCTCAGATTGTTGCAGTCCCTGGGTGCTGCCAATAGACAACGTGCTTGGCCATTAACCAAAGGACTTGGGGTTCGAGGCCATGCAGAGGCACTTCAGGGGAAACGGCAACACCAGCTGCTGAGAATCACAGAGCACAGCTCCACTGTGACATCCCAGGGAGCAGGACACTCAGTGGTCTGTGACCTCTGTAGGAATGAACCCCCGGAGGAAGACAGATGGTCCTAGGTCTGATGTCATGACGTGTGGCTATCTTCCAGGCCACTGTTTGTTCCATCTGTCCTTGTCCACATGAGCCCCACCACGTCCCCTTCTGGCCACAGTGTGTGGTGTCCTTGAGGGCAGCAGAAGGGGAGGCACCTGGGAGCTTCGCATGCATTGTCAAGAAGGACATGCCAAGATCTGTCATGAGGGGCCATCCTGTCTGTGATAGGATTACATCTATCTGCCTTCAAGGAAATCTTACTGATACAATTATTATTCAAACGGGGACACCAACCACTAAAGCTAGTGATGCAGACATTGAAAACTACTACCAATGTCTTCGGTCTGAAATGGACCCAATGTACCTCAAGGTGCATTGGTAATTCCTGGTGACTGGAATGCAAAAGTTGGAAACAGAATGAGACAGTCTTTGGGAAGTATGGTCTTGGTGACAGAAATGAAGCTAGAGATCCCATGATGGAATTTTAGAAGCCCAAATGACTTCCTCGTGGCCAGTACCTTTCCTCAGTCACATAAGCAGAGCCTGGGTACATGGACGCCAGATGGAAGACAGCAAAATCAAGATGAATTCACCAGCGGGAAGAGAACCCGGAGAAGCTCAGTACCTGCAGTAAAACCAGGCCAGGGTGGACTGTGGAACAGACCATCAATTACTCCTACGTAAGCTGAAGCTGAAAAAACTTAAAACAAGTCTGTCAGAAGAAAGTACAGCAACTATATCTCACCGAAATTTTGGGAACACCTCCAGAACAGATGTGATGCGTCAACACACATGACAGAAGACTTGGGCTGTGAGATGACATCCAGACCATCGTTCACGGAGAAACGGAAAGATGGGAAAGGAAGAAAAGATCCGAGGGAATGTCAGCCGAAACTCGGAAACTCGCTCTTCACTGTGCAGAGGAGTAACTGCGACAAACAGGAGAGATGATCAAGTCAAAACGCTGAGCAGAGAACTTCAAAGGACAGCTGAGAAGACAAAGTAAAATATTATAGTAAAATGTACCAAACCTAGAGTTCAAAAACCAAAAAAGGCAGAACATGCTCCGCATAACTTTAATTGAAAGAACTCAAGAAAAAATTCATACCTCAAGTTGCAATCCTGAAAGGTTCTACGGGCAAAATAGTGAACAGTGCAGAAAACATCAAAAAAAGATGGAAAGAATACACACAGTCACTATACCAAAAACAAGTAGTAGACATGCCACCACTTCAGGAGGTAGCACATGAGCAGGAGCCAATGGCACTGAAGGAAGTTCAAGCTGCACTGAAAGCATTAGCCCAAAAGAAGGCTCCAGGAATACTGGCAGTCTTTCAACTCACGAGGGCTGCTGGGTGCAAGTCAAGGAAGCACACTGCTGAGTCTTCTGTAGAGCAACACAGGCAATCCAGCCACAGGCAGCAAGCAACAGGGAAAATCACTAACAGTTAGCCAGATGACAGGGTCTGACAGTCCCCAGCTCAAGTGATGTATACACCAGCAGTGTGGTGAAGCAGGTCTTGAAGGAACCTCAAACTATAGTGACACGGTCCATGGGTTGGGTGTCCCACAGGTGCTGTAGCTCACAAGTTGAGGCGGAGCAGCCAGCCACACACTGGTCCATCAGAGAGCAAGAGACAGACAGGCAAGGCTCGCTGAGCCACTTATCTCTTTTCCCTTCAATTAAACAGAAACCTTATTAATCCTACATGTGTTTATTGGCCAGGTTGGCACAATAAACCTACCTATCACACTTGTCTATACCAGGAAATTTGGAAGAAAACTACTTGGCCAACTGACTAGAAGAGAACCATATTTGTACCCATTCCAAAGAACCAACTCATGCCAAAATTATAGAAAAGTATCATTAATATCACATGCAAATAAAAGATCACCTAACAATGGTTGTAGCAGTCCATTGACAGAGAACTGCCAGAGGTTCATACAGGATCCAGAAGAGGAAGTGGACCAAGAAGTGTCATTGCTGGTGTCTGATGCATGTTGACTGAAAGCAGAGAATACCAGAAAGATGTTTACTTGTGTTTATTGACTGTGCCAAGGCATTCAACTGTGCGGATCATAGCAAACTATGGACAATGTTGAGAAGAATGGGAATTCCAGAACACTTCATTGTGCTGATGTGGAACCTGTACATGCATTAGCATGCAGTTGTGGGCACAGAACAAGGACATAATGTATGTTTTAAAATCAGAAAAGGTGTGCATAGGGGTTGCATCCTCTCACCACACTTGTCCAATCTGTCTGCTGAGCAAATAATCAGAGAAGCTGGATCACAGGAAGAAGAAGGAAGCATCAGAATTGGAGAACAGCCGATTAACAACCTGCAATGTACAAGAACTTGAAGCACTTGCGGATGAAGGTCAAGGATGGTAGCCTTCAGTGTGGAAAAAACCAAAATCCTTATAACTGGATCCGTGGGCCACATCATGATAAATGGAAAAAAGGTTGACGTTTCAAGGATTTTGTCTTGCTTGGATCCACAGTCGATGCTTGGGAAAGCAATGCTGAGGTGGTCAAATGATGTGTTTCATTGGACAAATCTGCTGCACAAGACCTCTTTCAAGCGTTGAAAAGTGAAGAGGTGACTTTGAGGACTAATAGTGGGCCTGACCGTGGCATTCGCAATGGCCTCGTATGTGTGTGAAAATTGGATATTGAATAAGGAAGACCTAAGAAGAATGGTGCATTTGAGTTATAGTACTGGCAAAGAATATTGATAGTACCAGGGACTGCCTAAAGGACTGCCACCTGGTGGTGGGGTGGTTACACGCCGGGCTGCAATCTGCTTGGTCGGCAGTTCAAAACCACCAACAGCTCCACAGGAGAAAGACTGGGCTTGCTCCACCCGTAAGCAGTTACAGTCTCAGAAACCCACAGGGGGCACTGTGAGCTAACATTGGCTAGATGAAAATGAGAGTGTGGACAACCAAATAAATCCAATCTGCCTTGGAAGAAGTACAGCCAGGATTTTCCTTAGAGGCAAGGACGACGAGACTTTGGCTTTGGGAGTGTTGTCAGGAGAGGCCAGTCCTTGGAGAAGGACACCGTGCTTCGTAAAGTCGAGGGGCAGGAAGAAGGAGGTAGACTCCGGACAAGATGGATGGACATGGTGGCTGCATTCACGGGCTCACATAGAACATTTGTGAGGGCGGTGCTGGACCGGGCAGCGTTCTGTTCTGTTGTGCACAGCCTCGCTGGGACTCGGAACCGACCGGACAGCACTTGACACCAACAAGCGTGATTCCTGCGTGGGTCCTCTGAGGCCAAGTGCATCAGGAGCCGGATCTCGTGCCACTGGGAGAGCTGGGCCGGGGGCGTGTTAACCTTCACTGCAGTGGATGCATCAAATAAACCAAAGCATGGTATCCAAGTCCACTCTTAGGAGCAGGGCCCCTCCTGGGGAGAGGGCCAGGGCTTCCCAGTGGGCAGGCGCTATCCAGCCTTCTCCTTGCTCCCCCTCATTCACTGCCCCCTTCACAGGGGAAAGCACTGAGGGTCGGCGAAGGCAAGAGACTCACAGAGGCCCTACCCTCCCTGGAGGCGGACTTGTACCAATGAGTTTTGGAAAGTGTTCGTGGTTTGACTGGCCCCTGCTCTTCCCAGCAGGCATCTTTGGGGGCCTCCGAGGGAGGGGGGGGGAGGTGTGTGGAGGCAGTTCTGACTCACCGGAGGCCGTGACCCACAGAGTGAGGCACCTCCAGCCTGCCCTCCCCTCACAGCCATTGCTGTGGTGTTGCTGCCCCTCTGCTTGGCCAAGCACGATGGCCTTTTCTCCGGACTGTCCCTCCTGAGGACATGACCATTCTTGCTTCCAGGGGCTCCTGGCCATACTTCTTCCCAGAAGAGATGTACTCTTCTCCCGGCAGTCCCCGGGACTTTCTGTACCCTTCCCGGCAGCATCACCCACATGTATCCACTCTTCATCCACGGTCTTCCTTCTTCAGTAGCCAACTTCCGCATGCAGAAGAGCCGATGAAAATACCGGGGTCTGGGTCAGGCACCCCAAGTCCTCAAAGGGACTTTCCTGCTCTCCGGAACTTTATGGGGGTCTCGTGCGCAAGGCATTGCTTTGATCTCTCGACTGCTGTTTCCACGAGCCAGGACTGTGAACCCAAGCCAAGGGAGATCTTTGACAACTTCCGTCTGTTCTCCATTTGTCCCGGGGTTGATTATTGGTCCCTTTG